GATCCTAAGGACCATTTTAGTGGCAACATACATGTATCATGCATATATGTAATATATAATAAAAGTTTTTAAAAAGCAAGGCATGGCGGCTCCAGAAATGACATCCGCGTGTGGAATCTGCTCTCCTTTGGCTCCAGCTCAACCTGTTCTGAAGGGGGTTGAGGCCAAGAGAGAAGCTCTAAGGGGAGAAGCCCACAGGGGAGGAGGATTCTGCAGCAGCTCCGGTCACCAGCAGGAGTGGGCGCAGGGGTCCCAGCCCTGTGCTGTCAGTCCAGGGTGAAGTTTCTAAGCTTCTGTTGGACAAAGGTTGCCCAAGAATAGTTCCTACCCTGTAAACCAATCCCACACCTGTGTTAGGGTCAGACTTCTCCAGCAAAGCACCTCAGTGGCAAAGTACGGAGAGGCCAGCCAGCTAGCCAGACAGACACAGACAGACTCCCTGTGAACTCTCAGAAGGCAGGGGAGGGAAACGGATCACGCACCTTGCAGTCCATGCTCAGCATGTGCTGGGCGATGAGCTTGGGCTCGTGCTGGGTGAACAGCTCTTTCGCACGCTTCAGCATGGCTGTTTCCAGGGGTTTGTTCTCCGGAGGGAGGAGCTTGGATTCAAAGTCATTGGGCCTGAATGAGGACACAGTCTCCATGATGGGCTTCACAAACTCTGCCCTGTCCTCCTGTGTCACCGCTGGCTCCCAAGGCCCAGCTCCATCGTCCCCGTCAAGAATCAAGTAGTTGATACCAGAGTTCCGGGGACCCGGCACCCCATTCTGCCTGGCTGTCAGCAGCTCCACCTGGCTGCCCGGGGTCCCCAAGGGCAGCTTTGTTCCTCGGTCACAGCCGGTAGCAAAGGCTGGGTTCAGCTCACAGTAGTTGGCGTCAGAGTTGAGCCAGGAGGATGGAGAGGGCGGTGCCTTGAGGAAGGGCACCTTGCAGGGCTTTGGGGGTGGTTTGGGGCACAGCTGGCTGTCAGATCCCCGCAGAGCCTCCCCCGCCCTAGTGTCCAAGGAGACCCTCCGGATCAATGCTGGACTCAAGCTGGGCTCGCTTCCAGTCCTGAACACTGGTGAGTTTGGACAAGGGCTCGTGTCCATGCCCGGGCACTGGGGAGGCAGCTTGCCGCCTGTGGAGGAGAAGCGAAGGGCGGGGAAAGATTAGCTGAGTGGAGAACAGGAAACAAACAAAACTCAAGTGACAGCTGCCCAGCCTGCCACTACATACATAGAACACAGTGGGACTACCCCTCACCCCGACTTCTCTGAGAGAGTTAACAAGGCCCCATGCACATTTTTTTGGGGGGGCAATCCGAGAGAGAGAGGGGGAGAGGGAGAGAGAGAGAAAAAGAGAGAGAGAGAGTGTGTGTGTGTGTGTGTGTGTCTGTCTGTCTGTCTGTCTGTCCTAGGTTGGAACTAAGGTTCCGAGAGCTGTCTCTGAGCTCTCATGCCCAAGGCTGGCACTCTACTACTTCGGCCCAGCTCCACTTCTGGTTTATAGGTGGTGAATTGCAGATAGGAGTCTCATGGACTTTCCTACCCCAGCTGGCTTCAAACCGCAATCCTCAGCTCTCAGCTTCCTAAGCAGCTAGAATTCCAGGTGTGAGCCGCCAGCGACTAGCATCTTTCTATGGTCACCAAGGTTGGGAAACATAGGAAGACAATGGTGAGTAATGCAAGACTTTCTCACCCTAACAAACAGAAGTCTTAAAGGGCCCTGAGTCACTCTCCGCCAGAGCCAGGGCAGATCCCAGCCCGTATTAACAGTTACTAGTGACCCAGGGGCTTGTCACAACCCCTGTGACAGTCAGATGACAGAAGCACTTGACAAAGGGGGCTCTGGGAAAATCAATCTGTGACTCCGAGGAAAGTTACTTGTAAAAAGAACAAACCCCCTTCCCCCTCCCAGTCACATAACTGCTCACTGGATTTCCACACCCCTTCCTTATCACTCTTCTCCTCTGTGGAAGGAGACCAGAGAAAGGCGGTTCCTGTGGACGGCTGCCGGGCCAGGCGGCCAGCCTAACCCAAAGTGGAGACCGAGGGAGTTAGCACGTTTTTTTTTTCCTTTAAAAACTGCCAGTTATCAAATGGACATCACAAAACCTGAGTTCAAATACGAGGTGACTCTCCTCCATTCACTTCTCTGCACCTCAGTTTCCTGAGATAATCAGGCCTGCTTGTAGTGTGCATAAAGTAGGCAGCTGAGTGTTTGAAAACCAGAGTTGCCCCCAGTCCTTTCCCCTCCAGGCCACCGTCGTGGAGGTTTAAGACTTTTAGAAACTCTTGATGAAACAAGGCGGCTGCCTGAAGGAAATTGGAGCCACACTGTCGTTCCCCCCCCCCCCC